GGCTACAGCACTGAGTACGACGATATCTGAGATTATAACATCTGAGACAACAACAATCCCTGTACTGAGTGGCAACCTGGACTAAAAAGCTGTTGGGGTCAGAGTCTCAACATCTTCTCTGGACACCTATTCCATTACGCCCGGCTTCAGGTTTTGGTCTTGTCCACGTAACTAGTGGCACGCATGCACGGCCTCCAACGGACGTAAAAATGTGTTAAGCATGCTCGAATCATTACTATCGAGACGTTCGCTGCCACACCGTGGCCTTGTACACGACGGCCTTTTGGTCCGTTGTGTCAAGGTCGCGGGTGGCGGCATCTCTGCGGGGTGGGGAAGCTTCGGCTTCCCCACCTACTTCCTGTTCTGTGGCCTGGCCTTCGTGGTCGGGCTGCAGATTTTGGTCTACGGTGTGGCGTCCAGCCACTTCGGCAACAGCCGTGCCTTCGGGTAAGTGTGTGGCCAGAGGCTGGTGCGGTGGCCAGCCGGGGCTTGTGGCCAGCAAGAGCTTGCTATAATCATTCGTTCCTTCAGACTCGCGGCTGTTGCCGCTCTCACCACCGCCGCGCTAGCGGCATACCGCGTCACGTGTGCCGCTAGCCGGCACGCGTCACACCGTAGGCAGGTGGCCCGGCTGCGAAGCGCCAGGCGCAGCCTCCAAAGAAAGTCCTCGTCGGCCGAACGCCGGCGTAGGCGTTCCACCAGGAGCGTCTACGACTTAGTGTGAGGACCCACCACGGCTGCCCTACGAAATATACCTTCTGCTCGCAGCCGTATATGACTAAATGCTGCATTTCGTGAAACTGGCCATTTTTGCTACACACATCATTCGTTCATTCGTTGTGACTTCCGACGTCTCCGGGACGCATATCTTGACCAGCTCCACGACTCTCGGTCCCGTGTCTCGGTCCCGTGTCTTGACCGACCCCACCGCAGACAATTCCGTCGTTCGATGTTGTCTTGAGGCGACGACCCCGGAATGCGGGATTCTAATTTGAGACTGCTGTCTAAGTGCAGCCAAAGGTAGGGCAATCCGCAACAAAGTGATCAAGGACCAAACCGAGAAAAGCTGTTAGAAACAACCGTAAGAGCGCGGATATGGTAGGAGCGGGCGCCAGGCAGGGAGTAGTCCCGTCTCTTTGTCTTGCGAGAAGGTCCCGGCACAGAAGACCGTACAGGCCGGCACCGGAGGTGAACTCTTCATTCAGACAACCTGCGCGCTTTTCGCTTGTCCAGGGTAGGCATTGTGCCTACCTCCAGGGTGGCATGAGGATAGTTGAACAGGCAGAGCAAGGCACAGTTGGCTGAGTCCCTCAGCGCCACCGACGGCTACCTTGGCGCACGACCTGCCGATCTCACTTCCCGCTCTGGTACGACTACATGTCCACCCACCGCGAACTTTCATGTACACTAATGCGCCGTGCGACTCTTTTTAGTCCACGTGCGTTCCCGGGCGGTCCCTCTTGGCTTTTGGTCCACTCCGCGCTCGTCGTGAGCGCGAGTACCGGGGGCACAACTCGTGGGGCTGGGGCTTCCTTCACGTACTCAAAGCTCGCATGGCACCCCGCCAACGACTACGGCCCTGACCATTCTGCTTCCACGCTCGGTCATTACGGCGCGTACGGCCGGCTACCGACTTACTCTGCCGTACCGTCTCTTGACCCACTCTCTTCGGGGCTACCTCACCGGCAGACATTGCGGTCCGACAGCCTCGACAGCTACTCCCCGCGTACTCCGCATTTGACCTCGTCGTCATTTGCGCCTCCGAGAGTCTTCGGCACTCTCTTCGCCGTCGGTCGGGCTCCTTACTGGCATGCGGCCGGCGGCCGGCGGCACAAGTTCACGCCGGACACTCACAATACTATTCGGGCCGGTCAGTCCCTCAGGAACTCGGTGCGCGGCAGTAAGCAGTAGACTTGACTCCACTCACTCCGCCGCAGCCAGGCCTAACACCGACTTATCTCCCAGAAAAGCATTCGGCATCCTTCCCCGGGGGGGCTTTCACGCCGTCCCGCTTGCCTGGGCGGACTTCAACCGCTACTGGCGCGTGGGGGCTCCTCGCCGTCCCAACATCCGCCGACTCGCATGGGCCTCTCTTCGGCCCGGCTCGCTTCGTTGCCTCCCACGGCATACTGCTGCTCGCGGCCCTCCTCCGTGAGGCTAGCTTCGGGTGGTACTGCTCCGTAACCTCAGACAGTCCAACAGATCCATGCCGATACCGCCAGCTGAGTTGGATTCGGGTCTGCGGGCTGAATGGGCTACGCGTTCGTAAAGAGTCCCTCAACCCCTGCCGGCAGGTCCAACGCAGAGACGAGACGTCGCGTTTTGCGCTTGCTAAAGTTGCAGAATTACTTGAGGAAGACAAGATGACGAGATTGGCTGCTCTAGTTGTGATCGCTTCTGCGGACTTCATGGATGGCACGTGTGTGTCTGGTGTTGATCCAATGGGTTTGGAGCAGTCTTGTTTGGGTCGTTGCCACATTTACTACGATGGAGATTACGGTGCTTGCAACCATAAAGTGGAGACTTGGGAGATGGATGGTCCTTGCGGTGATTCCGTAGAGCGTCCTTGCCTCTCGACGTTCAATGGGGGATGGGAAGTGAACAAAGAGAACTGCGGCAACTGCTACAAGGTGGACATGAAATACGACGACGGCACAGTCAAGACCACGTACTTGAGAACGCTTGACACCAATGGTTCCGAAACCAAGTTCGAGATGGGCCAGGCCGCCTGGCTTAACTTGTGTCCTTACGTATGTGCGGGGACTGGAGTGTGTGCTTACACTCCCGATCAGTGTGAATACGGAATCATCGAAGGTGACAAGACAATCAGTTGCGCAGTTCAGAACGCTCCGATAACGTTCAAGAGAGTGGATTGTGGCGGTGGCAGCCCTCAGGAGACAACTACCCCAGTTCCAGTAGCCACGACGGCCCCGGTGTTTACGACCGCTCCGGCCCCGGTGTTTACGACAACCCCGGCCCAGGTGGTACCGACAACCCCCATAACC